GAATACACAACTCATATTTTGTACTCTTTGACATAGATCCAAATGATTCTGCTCTTGTTTTATTTGACTTCTTGCCCTTTGAATCACAACCTCCACAACCAAGCAACTTTGTCGGTTTGTCTTGTCAAGGGTAGATGAAATTGAGGTTTTAACTAAAGATAAAAGAGGAGAGGGGGGGGGGGGGGGGGGGGGGGGGGGGGGGGGGGGGGGGGGGGGGGGGGGGGGGGTTAGAAATCATAAATTATAAAATTAATTTTTTTTTTTATAAAAACATAAAACACTTGAAATGTTAATAAAACCGTTTTGATTGGAAAAAATCATAAAAATATAAAAGTGCGGTTTTAAAACTAATTTTTAACTATCATAGTTGTGTCAACAAGAATAAGATATACCCATCAACAAAATCAGCATATTTGATAATAGTTGAATTCTTTAAGTATGTTGACATAAATTCAATTCCTTTCCTGATTATATATATAAAAAAGATTTCATTGTGAAAGATTTATTCACTTAATATAATTTTTCATATCGAAAGAATTAATTTTCACCTATAAAGATACATTAAAAAAATATAAGAAAAGACCTTAAATTTTGTGCTCTCACCAAACCAACACTGGAATCAACTATTCCTCATGCCTTTAGCCGCCGTTCTGGGCGTAGCTTGTAGCAGTAGCCAGTCGGTTTGCAATCACGCAGGTAAAGTAAGAAGTTCTTTTATTTGAAAAGAAAAAAATGGGTGAACACATAAAAAAATGAGAAAATATAATCTTATGTTGTAGAAGAGTATTTTTATCTCCTACAAATACATCGATTTTTGTGTTATTTTTTTTATCTTTTTTCTTTTTCTATAAGTGGATGGGTCCCACATATGATTGTCTCTATAGCATGAGAGAACTTTCTCTTATTACATAAGATTAATAAAACCCTAAAGCAATATACCGCTTTTACATTTTCACATTTAAACGCTGCGTTTTTAAACGCTTTTACATCATAACGAAATCATTTTAAAAATTCGTTTTTAATTACCATGCTCCACAACTCAACAACTTTGTCTCGTCGATAAGAATAAAATATGGATTTGTTCTGTCTTGGAGATAGAGATATCCAGTCCAATGGACTGGTAAGTTGATCTTGGATCTAGTGCCCTCACCAAGGTATCTATGAAGGAGATACCCTTGAGTGAAGCAGATCACTGTGCACAAAGAGTAACGGCTTTGCTAATGGGGGGTGTGTGCGCACAGTGACAGCATAAGAGTAAGGAAGAGAGCGTAACGTACTTTTAGGTTTTATCCCTTATTTATAGGATTTACCTGTGAGTAGTAGAATATGGACCTTTAGTGCCTCTGATAAGGGCCCAAGCCCATCTATCATGTTGTCATATTATGATTGGTATCCTTGATGGATACCTTTACTTAGTTATACTTAATTTAAATCTTAGATTGTCCCTTGTTGGGCCTATCAATCAATGGGCCCCTTATACAGGTCCATAACAGTTGTCCCTCAGCTAGGCTACCTGGGTGTCCGGGTTGTCGGGATGAACTCCTTTGTGTTTTGGTTCAGATTTTTTGCTGAGAACGGTTCAGTTTGTGAACTCTTTGCATATATGCTCCTTGCATCTTAGAATTTTTTCAATCGGGGTCCTTGTTGCCCTTTATCTCGGCGGATTTAACGCGAAACCGAGAAGATGTCACACGTATTCCCTACACCGAGTTAGGAATGAGCTTGAGTTGTTGTGATCCAACTGGCGAGTTTCCCCCAAGCATCATTCCTTACGCACATGTCTTCACATGTGTTCTGAGCTTTAACCTTCTTGCTGTCGTATCTTCCCAAGTGCGAACTCGAACTTTGGATGTTTTTTGCTTGTCACAAAATTCAGAAGAAACTTTTCTCCAAATTCTTCGAAAGACCAAATGGAGTTGGCAGGTATGTCTGAGAACCATGCCTGCGCAACCCCACTTAAAGTTATGACAAATATTCGAGATATGAGGGGTTCATCAATTCCTCGGATCTACATGTCTGTGTCGAATGCATCTATATGGACCTACGGATCCTGGCTTCCATCATATTTCAGCAAGCGTGCCGAATCAAAATCCTCTGAGAAAGGAGCACTCAGTATCTCACAAGTGAAGGGGTTGTTATTGTACTGTCCCCTACTGTATTTCCTCTTGTAACCACCGGGTTCCACGCGTCCTTTGGCGGTTTAGGCATCTTGGCTAAGATGTGATCCCTCCCCCTGCACATTTGCTCCTGTTGAAACATTCTGGATGAGGGGTTGCGTGTTCATGTTCCGGTTACTCATTCCCTAGGCTTCAAGATTTAGGCCTCCAACGGTTCCCACATTTGATGTTCCTCGGTTCTCAGTGATCGCAACTCGAACCTACCTATTCGGGTTGTGATTCTCATCTCGGCCATTTGCATCTCGGCCTTGGATCCTCTATGATCAAAGCCCTCTCATTGCCAACAATCGTTGTTCCAACTCATGCATTCTCCTCGCATCGTCCTTCTGAATTCTCCTGAAATCTTCCTGTCGTTGAAGATTGTTACGATTCTCCATATCTTCCACCCTTCGCCATATTGCGACAAAGGTACTTTGAGCCAGGCAAGAATCAGGATCTGCAGCCTGTGCTCTGCGAACAACAAGGTCTGCAGGATGCTGAGGAGGAAGAGGGTTATTCAACGCCAAATCTGCAACTCGATTACGTGGGGCTGGGGTAGAGGCTATATCTGACACATCCTCACTGACATGGACTGCATCATAGTCCACCTCATTTTCTGGTTGACGATGAGGCTGATTGGCCTCTTCCAGAATAGGACCCCGCGACTGATTGGCCTCGTTTGGAGGTTGTGGCTGTTGGATATTGCTCCCTGTACGGACTGCCATCTTCGATCAAGATTGTGGGAATATCAAAGTTGTCGACTCCCCACAGACGGCGCCAATGTTCTGTCTTGGAGACAGAGATGTCCAGTCTAATGGACTGGTAAGTTGATCTTGAATCTAGTGCCCTCACCAAGGTATCTATGAAGGAGATACCCTTGAGTCAAGCAAATCACTATGCACAAAGAGTAACGGCTTTGCCAATGGGGGTGTGTGTGCGCACAGTGACAACATAACAGTAAGGGAGAGAGCGTACCTTATTTATAGGATTTACCTATGGGTAGTAGAATATGGACCTTTAGTGCATCTGATAAGGGCCCAAGCCCATCTGTCATGTTATCGTATTAGGATTAGTATCCTTGATGGATACCTTTCCTTAGTTATGCTTGATTTAAATATTAGATTGTCCATTGTTGGGCCTATCAATCAATGAGCCCTTTATACGGGTCCATAACAGTATTCGATGTTTTTATCTTTTTAAAGAATATAAAACTATATTATTTTAAATGAAAAAAATCACAAATAATAAAAATCATAAAAGAAAAAAGTAAGTTTTTTTTAATTTAAATTCTAAATAAAAGATTAATTTATATTTTTCTCTTCCTTAAAATAACATAACTCTATATCATTTAAAAGAATAAATATTTTTTTCCATAAAATATACCGCCTTAAATTTTGTGCTCTTATCAACACCGGTATGGCAGTATCAGGTAGCCTTTTTTTTCCTTTTTTTTTAAAGCCCTTTTTAACCTTAAAAGTAACTTATTCTTACATACGATGAAAATTACAAAGTTAAGAATCGAGATGAGGCAAAAATTCAATTTTCTATTTCAAAATAGAAAATAAACTCTAAATTCAAACCATACCAAATTATAAAATTAAATTCTTTGTAATTAAAAAATAAATAGATAATCTAGTTAACAGACTAATTAATAAGCAATGAGATTTGACTAGTTTAACTGAAAAATTAAACGCTCTATACTCAAAATACATTAACTTCAAAGGATCAACAATCGTCCAATAAAGCATTTAAAAAAAAAAATACTCATGCGGGGGTTAACAATTGTCTTAATCATGAAAGCGTTTTTTTAAATAATAATAAAAATTGATTGTAAAGATATAAGAAACAGTGATAAGAATAGGAAATTGAACACCACGTTTATGCATAATTCTTCGGTATTTTTGGGAAACTAAATTTTTTTAAATTTTAAATTTTTAAATTCTCGAATAATTTTTTTTTTTCCTCTGTGAAACGTCCCCTTAAACACTTGTTGACTTTGGTGCCGTATTGGACCACAAAATTTTATTCTTTAAATATGATACTTTTTTATCTATTTACGGGAACTCTAATCGTGCAGTTGACAATTTAAGCATGCCAACAATTGACATTTCATCTAAAAATTTCCTTAAATATTTAAGGTATGGAATTTTTAAAAGTTCGAATTGAGAAGGCAATGAATCGAAGGATTATAATTATCAAATATGGGGTTTGATTTTCTCATGTTAAATGCAAATTCAATTCTCATGTTGTAGAGATAAAAAGCATGTGGGACCCATGTGTTAGAAAAAATTATATGTAGGACTCATGTCAGCACGAAAATCGAAGGGTGTGTAGGAAAATTTGAATTCTCATGTTAAATGAGAATTATAAAACCCATCAAATATATATATATATAAGATATAAGATATTGTTACTATCAATTAGTATTATTATCAATGTTATTTTCAGTTTATTTTATCGATAAATTGATTATATTGATCCAACAGTTCTGATTTAACTTTCTAAAAATATTCTTTCTTCTCCCTATATTTAATATTTAATATTTATTTTCACTTTTGTATGGTTATGATTTCCTATATTTAAATATTTTTTATTAAATATGAGAAATCATAATTATATAAAGGTGAAAATAAATATAACTGGTAGATCAACATATTCGATATAACGGTGAAATAAACTGATAGTGACATTGACCGTAATATTAATTGGTAATAACAATATCTCATCTACATATATTAATGATTTCTTATAATAATAAAAAATAAGTTCCTAGATATTTTCCTCTTTTAGTATTTATTTGTGGCCATCCCTAACTTCTGAGGCAGTTTGTTTTCTTTCATAATTATGGAGCTACATCTCCAGAATATTCCCTCACCTGCGATGTTGTCCTTCTTTCTCTTCCTGTTCATGGTGTTTAGCATAGTTTGGAGATCAAAAACCAAGTCTTCAAACTCCAAGTTACCACCAGGGCCCCCAAAACTGCCACTTATTGGGAACATGCACAAGCTTGGTAAAATGCCTCATCAAGGCCTAACAAAATTAGCAAAGAAATATGGGCCTCTGATGCATATGAAACTTGGTGGTCTTTCCACCATAGTGGTGTCTTCCCCTGAAATGGCCAAAGAAGTTATGAAGACACATGATATCATCTTTGCAAATAGGCCTCATGTTCTTGCAGCAGATGTTATCTCTTATGGTTCAAAGGGTATGAGCTTTTCCCCTTACGGAAGTTACTGGAGGCAGATGAGAAAGATTTGCACGTTTGAGCTACTAACACCAAAGCGTGTTGAATCATTTCAATCAATCAGGGAAGAGGAGGCATCAAATCTTATCAAACAGATATGTTTGAGTGAAGGGTCATCTATCAATCTTAGTAAGACGATTAGTTCCTTCTCCTATGGCTTAACATCACGAGTAGCCTTTGGAGGAAAATCCGAAGACCAAGAAGCATTCATAACTGTTATGAAGGATGTCTTAAAATTAGTTGCTGGTTTCTCTATAGCTGACTTGTATCCTTCAATTGAAGTGCTTCAAGTTTTGACAGGAATAAGGTCCAAAGCTGAGAAACTCCATCAAGAAATAGATAGAATCCTTGAGAAAATTGTCAGAGATCACAGACACACGAGTTCAGAAACAAAGGAAAACAATGAAAAAGTAGGTGAAGATCTAGTTGATGTCATGCTGAAGCTTCAGAAGCAGAACAACCTTGATCATCCTCTATCCGACAGCGTTATCAAAGCAACACTTTTGGTATGTATTTTGCTAATAGAAAATCACATAATTTCCAAAAGTAGTTCCAAGTTGATATCGCCAAAGATCAATTAAATGCAGTTGACTTTAAATGCTTACAATTTTTTCTTTGTTAAAGACTGCTAGCTGCAGGCAGAGGAAAAACAAGATTCATAGTATACTGAGATTTTAAATACCAAATGCGGCTCTTTCAACTCTCTGTCACATGTATATTTAAATGAAGAAATTTTTAAGTAAATTCTGTTTATAATTCTTGAATTTGAAAAAAAAAAGAAAAATTCCATGGAAATTTTTTAATAGGACAACAAATCGTTTGTTAAGTTAGAGGTTTCATTAGATGCTAGTGCAAGTGCTGCAAAAAATTGTTGGCAATTCTATTCATGTTAGCACTTATTTCAGGATATCTTCAGTGCTGGAAGCGGTACTTCAGCAAAAACCATAGAGTGGGCAATGTCAGAACTTGTCAAAAATCCAAGGGTGATGGAAAGAGCACAAGTTGAAATAAGAAGGGTCTTTGATGGTAAAGGGCATGTAGATGAAGCTAACATTCATGAACTGAAATACTTAAAGTCAGTTATCAAAGAAACCTTGCGTCTACATCCTCCTGTTCCATTATTACTACCAAGGGAATGCAGTGAGAGATGTGAAATTAATGGTTATGAGATACCAGCTAAAAGTAAGGTTATTGTTAATGCTTGGGCAATTGGGAGGGATCCAAACTACTGGATTGAAGCTGAGAAGTTTTATCCAGAAAGGTTCCTTGATAGCTCAGTTGATTACAAAGGTGTAGATTTTCAGTTTATCCCATTTGGTGTTGGAAGGAGGATGTGTCCTGGCATTACATTTGGCATTGTTAATGTTGAAATCAAACTAGCAAATTTGCTTTTCCATTTTGATTGGAAGATGCCCAATGGGAATAAGCCTGAAGAACTTGACATGACTGAATCATTTGGCTTGTCTGTAAGAAGAAAACATGATTTGTACTTGATTCCTTGTATGTATCACTCATCTACTAATTAATACCACTGTGAAGGAATTCTTGTTATGTTCTCAGTTATTGGGTATGGCTCATATTTCACGTTCGGACGACAGCCCTTGTTTGCAGGATACAAAGAAAACTAATGTTTGTGTCCCTGCTCTTCTAGTTAGTTATCAGTATGATGTTGAATGAGCAATTTTCTGTGTTTATTGATAGTTTGAATTGAAAGAGGACTGAGTTTTGTTTTTGATTTATCAATTTTCGCCTTCAATCTTTGTTGCCCATCCCTTGTGTAGTGGAATGTGTACCATGTAGATGTCTTCTATTTAGGTTGAAAGGTAATTTGCAATTCACTTATGCACCAAGAGTTCATTATCCTATTAGATTCTACACATTAGGAATTTGAATTGAGTTAAACATTGCCTATTCTGATAAAAGATCTTCTCCGAAATGAAATTTTAGCAGGGGAATGAACATATATTCTGTGCTAAGGTATGACATTCCCGCTACCTGTTTGAACTACCATATGTGATTTACATCCCTACTGTAGTTAACAGCTTGATCTTTACTTGAAAGATCAGGTAATGAGTCAAATTTGTAAATGCTAAAAGAGAATGAGCTCAGGTTGAGATTGAAGCGAGAAAGGAGATGAAACTTGTCATGGACCTGACAAAGACTCACATTCTAGAAAGTTCAAATAGGGCTAACAGGCTAAGAGGGAATTAAAAAAATATTCGTTAATTATATTAATCCTACTACGGCAGCAATGGATCAACAATTGAATCCCCAATACTCCTAAGAGGCCCAGAAGTCCACTCCTGCCAGGTAACCCATCTATAAATAAGGGGTTAAACCAATAAGGTACACAGGCTAAAAACCATCTCTCTTAGCTTATCACTGTACACACACCCCACTCCTTGACTATGTCGTTTCTTTTATTGTGCACAGTGATCCGCTGATCTCTAGAGTACCTCCCCCATAGGTACCTGAGAGAGGGCAAACAGATCCAATATTAAATTATCAATCTCTGATTGGACATTCACGATCTATCAGATCGTAACTTTGGCGCCAACTGTGGGGAACAATAAAATTCGATTCCTACCCAATAGTGGTGAAAGCGCAGCAGTCGCTGCCATATCCAAATCCTAATACGTTGAGCGCAAAGTACAAAAATAAAACTCATCAACCGTTCAAGCCCGATTAGAGTTCACAATTGCTTCAACAAGCATGACGAAGCCGAGATCAAAATTGTGACCACTACCGTTGTCAGGATCATGGCCGAGATCAAAACCGAGAACGTGGTCGGGATCAGGACTACAACAAAAATATAAATTTTGATGTTATTGGATCCTGAAAGCACAAAATGCACAACAATGCGAAAAGTTTATCACTCCAGCCCCGCGCGGCTGTGGTTTCAATGAGAAGCTTTTGCTCTCAGAATCTGATCAGACCCAACAAAAAGCTAAGCATCCTTGATCTTAGCATATTATTCAAAATATTTGATATTATCCTACTTTTCAATTATATAAATATTGCACAATTGATTAAATTGAATGCTTTTGGAGTAATCTAAGGACAAATCAAAGATTTGTCTTGATTGGCATAATGTATGTAATGCAGTCTTTGATTAAGAATGCTTTGGGAGTAATCTATGGACAAATCAAAGATTTGTCTTGATTGGCATAATGTATTTAATACAACCTTTGATTAATATATATATATGTATATGTATATGCACGTGGCATTTAATAACATTGGTTAACAATATATATATATGATTATTGCTGCATCTCAAATTGAAAGACATTGTTTAAATATTGTTTAATATATGTTGTTGAACCATTGCTTGCTGTAACACCCCGTATATATCCGGTAATGTTATCATACTATCGTATTAAGCTCGCTTAATTAAAAATTGAGGAATATCTTTTTCTTTCAATTATGATGTCATTATCATTACCAACTTACTTATTAATCAATTAATAAAACATCGCCTGTATGCAATTGCAATAAAACAGCTAACAGAAATACCTCATTAATTAAAACAACATAATGTATGTCTCTAGTCACGGAACTACAACACGTAGACCGGACCAACTATCATTAATAATAATGCGGAAAACATAAACAACATCCAGTCCAGTCATGCTAGCAAATAAGCAGTAATATCATAATCAGCTAAGCTCTGGCCTCTTGCCGCCAGAGGCATCAGTCACCATACTACCTGAACCTGAAATAAGCATTCCCCAAACGTGGGGTGAGATCTCTAAACAAGAAATCTCAGTAAGACAAGGGGTCCTCAAGGATCTTCCACCCCAAGCTTACTTACATGTGCAATATAAGTTCAAAAGAAGTTTATCATCATCAGTTCTAAATCAGTGCAATGCAGCAGATAATCATGTCATGTGTGTCAATACTATTCTCCTGATCAGAGAAATGCAGGAATACATCTATTACCCACACAATATGCAAGACGCTACTTGCACCCACCCACGGACTCACCATCTTGTATGACGCCACATACTCAAGCTTACCGACTAAATGGAAACAACACATACATATTATAAGCCATTGCACATATTAGCTCAAAAGCATTTCAAAATATCCAAAGCATGTAACACAACATGCATATAACCATACCCCCATGGGACATGGTGGAACCACAACATGGTTAAACCGAGGACACGAAAGCTTACCTTGCAAGCTAACACCCAAAGCCAAGAGTCCACAGCTCAAAGTCCAAACACAACAGATTCACAATCTATTATGGACCAATAATACATCAACAATCATACTCTACAAGTATACAACATAAAGACAACGCCTTTTCATTACGTTTTACGTCTTAAGGCTTCACAACAGCCATAAGCCCTTAATCATATGATTCTGACTTACATTAATTACTTACAGAAGTTCAACTTCCTCAAACTAGGGACCACAAACCCATAGATCAGTTCTGGATGAACAGTACACTATTGTTCCTCGCAAACCCAGAATATCCGGATATCTCACAGGAAATATCCAGATATCCAATATCCGGATATCACTCTGGAAATATCCATATATCCATATCCGGATATCCAGAACCCCATATCTGGATATAAATATCCGGATATCCATATCTGGATATAAATATCCGGATATCCATATCCGGATATAAATATCTGAATATCCATATCCGGATATCAATATCCCGATATTCCACAGGCAAATATCTGGATATTTCATGACAGAATGCAGTTTCTGCATTTCGCGAAGATATCCTTCCAAGGTTCCATTTTTAACACTTCCAGAAGCTAAAACATGCATCTTAAGGTTCATTGAGGTTCATATGACAGTTGGTTAGTTGTTTAATTCATTAAACATGCCAAGACTTCATCTTTAAGCAACAAAACTCAAGACCAAGGTTGGTACAACTTACCACAGTTAAAACTCAGCAAAATGGGTGCTCTTGGAGCTCACACAACAACTCCAAGGTTCTGACTTCAAGGGTGCACGAAAATACCACCCAAGCAAGGATCTTTCTTCACAAAGAAGGCTTCTTGCACCTCAAAATACCAAGACCAAGGCTCCCACAACCCACCAAGTAAGTCAGCCCCCCTTCAACATCCCAAACAGTGGCTGAACAACAAGAACACAACCTTTTCCCACTCTCACAAGCACCAAGTGTTTAGTGAAGAGAAAAGGAAGGAAAGGGCTCCCAAGGCTCACAAAATGGTGAAGAAGTCAAGGAATAGAGCAAGGAGAAACTGGTCAGCCTCCAAGTCACGTAGCAAATGAGTGGCACCTAGGGTTGAGTGCCAACTAAGGCTTATATAGTCACTTAACCAATTAACACACATTATTAACTTTAATAGCTACGCTTAGCATTTTAATCCCAAACTTTGGATTCTTAACCTACTCAATTTTACAAGAATTATCATATTTTTCTTATAATTTTCGGAGCACCTTTATGGTACGCATTTTCATAGTCAGTGCCAGTTTCTGGCACCAGTTCTCATTATTTTGACTTGAAACTCATTTTACAAGTCCTACATATTATTTTAGTAATTATCAAGCACTTATTATAATTTTCCGGGATACTTTTTCGGTACACATTTATACCGATTAGCAGAACCGATATCTGCACTTTTCTTCCGAAAAGCGACTTTCAGCATTCTTACTCACTTACTATAATTATTAGAGCCTCATAATAATTAATAGGGCAATTATGGAATTATTTCCTAATTTCATATAATTAATTAATTAACTTCCTTAATTAACGGTGCGGGTTCTTACATTCACCCCACCTTTTTTAGGATTTTGTCCTCAAAATTAGAATATACCTGTCTCGAAAGTCGGGATACTTCCGGAGAAGCTCGTCCGCTCGCTCCCAGGTACACTCCTCAGGAGTTCTTCGTGACCATTTCACCTTGACCATCGGAATGATCTTGCTCTTCAGCTGCTTCTCGCCACGATCGAGAATCTTGAGTGGTCCGACGGGAGTTTTCAAGTTCTCCCGAACCTCCACATCATCCGGTTGCACCACATGCGCAGGATCCGCTACGTACTTGCGAAGTTGAGACACGTGAAACACGTCGGATGTTGGCTAGGTTCGAAGGCAAGGCAAGCCGGTAGGCAACAGGTCCTACTCTACCAAGAATCTGATAGGGCCCAATAAACCGCGGGCTCAGCTTCCTCACTTCGAGTGCCCGTCCAACACCGGTGACAAGTAAAAGTCTCACAAACACGTGCTCGCCCTCACAGAACTTCAGTGGACGATGCTTGACATCGTAGTAGCTCTTCTGGCGATTCTGTGCCTGCTTCAACTTTTCCCTGATCATTTGGATCTGCAGGGTGGTATCTTGGACAAAGTCCAAGCCAAACAACTCACGATCCCCAACCTCAGACCAGCAGGTAGGTGTATGAAACCTCCTACCGTAGAGCGCCTCGTAGGGTGCCATGCCCAGGTTAGCATGGAAACTGTTGTTATACGAAAACTCAACCAACGGAAGGTACCTATCCCATGCCGAGCCCTGCTCCAACGTGCAAGCCCGCAACATGTCCTCCAAGGTCTGGATAGTCCGCTTAGTCTGTCCATCAGTCTGAGGGTGATAGGCTGTACTAAATCTCAACTAAGTACCAAAAGCTCCCTGCAGCGCCTCCCAGAACCGAGATGTGAACTTCGGGTCCCTATCACTGATGATACTCTCAGGCACCCCGTGAAGCCTCACGATCTTGCGAACATACAGTTTGGCCAACTACTCAGTAGTGAAGCTCACCTTCACTAGAAGAAAATGGGC